TTCTAGTTTTTGTATACATCCTCTGCAAATGTAGACGCAAAAGATTTCCAAGACTTGCCATGAACTACCCTCAGGACTCACCTCCACCTTCACCACATCGCAGCAGTTCCATCAAACAGAAACTTAAAGGATTAACCTTTAAAAGAAGACCAGACGTACGCCCAGAAAAGGAAGACGTCCCCGAAACCCCAATTGAGCTTTAAAAGTCGAAGCAAGGCATCGACTTTTCACTAATGAGGGGAGCTGTTATATGTGAAAATAGTCACCTTGAACCACTCAAGGGTTACCGACACTTTGGTTTCGCAATATCAGTTCCTATTTCATCATTCTTTTAGCAAGCGTTCCCATAGAGATAGCTGACTATGCACGGACATCAAACTCTGACCAAAGCTGGCCTTTCGTGGGAAATGCCGACACCACATTTTGTAGATAGATTATAAATTCAGGACTAACATTATATTTTTTACTCGTCATATAAGTTTCTTACTAATAACATTTGTATTATATAATTTTATTTGCTTCATTTTATCGTATAACTAAGTGTAACTTTTATTTGTGAAATAAATCTTTTTTAAAAAGTCAATCAAGAAGTTAGTGATTTAACATATATATATATATATATATATATATATATATATATATATATATATATATATATATATATTCTTCTTCTTCCTATGCCGTCCCCATTAACGGAGGTTGGCGACCACATTTTTAAAAGCTTCTCTGTCTTTTGCAACGTGGAATAATTCGTCTACAGTCATGTTTGTCCAGTCTCGAATATTTCGCAGCCATGACTTCCTTTTTCTACCTATTCCCTTTTTGCCATCGACTCTACCCTGCATGATGACCTGCAGAAGACTATATTTATTATTTCTTAGTATGTGTCCAAGGTATGCAGTCTTGCGTACTTTTATCGTTCTCAACAATTTTTTGACTCGACCCATTCTTCTCAGCACTTCCTCATTGGTGACCCTGGCAGTCCATGGGATTCTCAACATTCTCCGATATATCCAAAGTTCAAAGGCTTCAATCTTTTTAACTATTTGCGCTTTTAGTGTCCATGTTTCTACCCCGTACAATAATTGCGACCAGACGTAACATTCAACAAACCTCAGTCTCAGCGCAATATTCAGATTTTTGTCACAGAACAATTGTTTGAATTTTAAGAATGCTGCCCTTGCCATTTCTATTCGTATCTGGATCTCTTGGTCTGGATCTAATTCTGTGTTGATGTAAGCTCCCAGATATTTATATTTTGTCACTCTCTCTATTTGCTGTCCACCAAGAGTTAGTTGTTCATTATTTATTGGACTCCTTGATACTATCATAAATTTGGTCTTATCTGTGTTGATGTCAAGTCCCATTTGAATGCATTCACTATTTATTGCATCTAGTAAAGTTTGTAGATCTTCTATACTCTCAGCCATAATTACCGTGTCATCTGCAAATCTCATGGTGTTTATGATTTCTCCACCAATTCTTATTCCCTCTTTTCTTTCCCATAAGGCTTTTCTGAATATGACCTGTGAGTACACGTTGAAAAGCGTCGGAGACAAGACGCATCCTTGCCTAACCCCTCTCGCAATCGGTATATTATTTGTTTCTATATCGTTCACCTTTACTACTGCTTTCTGGTTCCAGTATATAGCCTTAATAAACTCAATGTCTTTTTTGTCTAAATTGATGTTTTTTAATTCATCTATTAACTTCATATGCTGCACTCGGTCAAAGGCCTTCCTAAAGTCTATGAAGCATACATATGCACTCTTGTTATATTCCCGACATTTCTGCAAGAGTACCGTCAACGCAAATAATGCCTCTCTTGTTCCCATGCCTCCTCTGAAGCCAAACTGAGTTTCATCTATCTGTTCCTCACATTTCTTATAAATTCGGTTTTGAACAATTTTCAAAAGAATCTTTAAAGGGTGGCACATTAGGCTTATTAATCTATAGTCATTACATGATTTGGGATTGTTGTTTTTTGGTAGAGGTAAAAATATCGATTTAAGACATTCTTCCGGGATATTGCCCTCTACATATATGTGGTTGAGAATTCGGGTGAGTCTCTTTATATTACCGTCATCTAAGGCTTTTAACAGTTCAACTGGAATTTGATCAGGACCCGGTGCTTTTCCTTGTTTTGCATTCTGTAGGGCATTCTTTACTTTTGAGGGTAAAATTTGTAGGTATTGTTTTTCTTCACCTATATCTTGTTGTATATATATATTATACAACAGTAAAGCTTAGATCAGCAACTGACGAATGACGAGGCTAATATGTCAGTAACCTTGACCAGACCACAGTGAAGCATAGAGTATTAATTGCAGAGATCTCTGACGAGTTTATATTGGGGATGGATTTACTAAGGAAAGTTGGGGCTGTATTGAATATCAAAGATGGAGTTCTCGAGATGAGTGGTGAAGAGTTCCGTGTCAGGAAGATAAAGAAGATGTTATCAGATTAATAACTACTTGTAATGTAACGATACCCAGTAACAGTGAGAAAATTGTGATGACCAGACCTGATGATTACTGCCGAGAGGGAAGTTTAAGGATGGTCGAAGATGTGAACAATGCCGAGTTCCTAACGGCAAAAGCCTTGGTGAGAATTCGAGATGTCGTTCCTGTAAGAGTTATGAATTTCAAGAGACCTGCTATTAATTTAGGTAAAAGAACTTTGATCGGACAGTGTGTTTGCGTGGCTTTGATTTGGTCTATGAATACTAATAAAAAATCATCGAAATCTAAGTATCCAAAGAAGCTTGTTGAGATGATGATTAAAACGTGCCAAGATCTTGATGAACGAACTAAAAAAGCGAAGTCTATGCTGATAGAATTTTAAGATGTATTTGCCATTGATAAGAAGGATAATGGCAAAACAATCATAGTAAAGCATAGTAAAGTATATAATTAATACCGGAGACGCTCAGCCAATCAGACAACAACCTAGACGTCTTCTATTTGCGAAAAGAGATGAAGCCGAACACATCATCAAAGATTTAAACAAGATTTTAGTAGGGTTTTTGTAACAGTTGCCCACGTACGATTTAAAATATTATATTTCAATGTATTATCTAGAGCTTTATTGATACTAATAAAGATAGCTAACAGGTTTTGATTATGTAGAAATGCTTCAACGATTTCAGACTCAAGTAATACTAGGTTGACGATAGTCTATCTACCTTTACAGAAACCACTTTAATAGGCAGAAAATAACCTTGAGTTTTTTAAATGCCATACTATTCTATTATTTATAATCTTTTCCGATAGTTTGTACATACAGCATGTCAAGGAAATAGGACTATGCGACTTGGAATCGTCTTTAGGTTTGTTAGTTTTAAGAATTGGGGTGATAATAGCAGCATATCTTGGAAAATATATCATTTAAAAATATTAAGTTAGATAGTTCCAGGAGGATAAGTTCAGCTGACTCTGGAAGAATTTTTAACAAAGTAGTAAAATATCAACTGGACCAGAAGAGGTATTTTTTATGCTATTTAGAGAATATTTAAGTTTTTGTAGAGTTATGTTTTTATCTATTGAAAATTAAAATTTTTAAATATTCTTCATGATTTTTGTATTTAATAAAGTTTGGGTTTAGGTTGCTATCACTAGAATTTAGTTGATACACATCGCCTTATACGTTAAATATGTATTTTTTATTGGTAACAAGACGATTATTGTTAAAAAAGGTATTACTATAGATGTAGTTGTTTGATACCTTAACGGATTATTTTTCAGATTTATAGTACCTTCCCTAAGTAAATATGCTTCTTTCCTAACTTGGCTACACCGTAATAAAGACGACCAATAGTCCGAAATACGTATATATGCTTGCCTTCCATAGATATGGAAGACATATCGCTTGCCTTCCAACAAACTCTGCCGTATGCAAATCAAGCAAAAAACTCTTTTGCATGACTCTATACATGTACATGTACAATTACGTTTAGTTGGAAAAACAGTTTGTTTTTAAATTCTAAAAAGGGTACTACCTAGCTTATTAAAAAAAACCTACTGCAACCACACATAATAAAACAATAATTTACAAAAAATCCTTAATCTAATGTAAATACCTGTTCTAAAAAAATAGTGAATGTAACTTGATAGAATAGAAATAAAGAGATACATAAGAACCTAAGTAAAGTCCTTTTACCCTATGACGGCCGATATGCAATTAAAATATGATTAGTGGGCCTCAAACAGTGGGGCGTTAATATTTAATTCCGATCGTTTGAAAAATAAAACAAATTTAATTTCCTTTATTTTATGTTCTGTAATAATATTGGATTTTACTGTATCAAAGGCAAATAAAATGAATATAATTTGTATATACAGGGTGTGTTAAAAGAAGTGGGACGGAATATTTCGAATACTCGAAACTATTTGTCGACATCAAATGTTCCTCAAGGTCTCTATAAGTCTCTATTTTGCGTAGAGTGATAATTATACGAATTTACTTGTATTATTCCAATAAAATATTAAAACCAATAAACGATAACTTGTTGAGCAGTGCTGATTAAAACAACAGAGAAGTAAAAAGGGTTATTCATAAAGGTAGTGTAAAATATGTCGCCTCTTATCTGGTCCGCTAGTAATAAAGTTACCAGCATTTAATTGCAAAGCGGTTTTCTTAGTTGGAAAATACTTTAATAAAATTGTCACTACAAAAATCAAAAGATTTGCAAGAAACCATTAAAACAGGCTTTAAAATCATAGACAACCTTAATAATATAGCTTAAATAAAAAAACCCTTTAATTTAGTTTTATTCCAGTGTTAGTTGTAGAAGGAGGAGTAGATAACTTAGAACTTTCGTGTTAGTTACGAGTTCTAAAAAGTAACAGGTCTTCACAAAGTATAACTATAAAACATCATTTAAAACTAGAACAAAATAGCCAATTGGTTTGGCTTTTGCGGTCGTTCCACAATTTTGATCTTTTCACAACTTATTACTACTTATATAAAACTTATAAATATAATACTTACTATATTTTCAGATGACAAATGTACAACAAAATCTGGTATTGCAGGTGTGTGTCTTAAAGTATCTGAATGTAAATCTGCAATAACGAGTATACGCAATGGTATCGTACCGACAGATATATGTGGCTTTACATCAACAACTCCCGTTGTATGTTGTTTGGATACTCCTACAGACATACCCATTTCAACTTCTTCACCAGTACAGAATGAAAATAATTCTGGTAGAACTGGACCAGATCCTGGAGACAAAGCTAATAAAAGTAAGTAAAAGAAGTAAGTCGTCAAATTATTAACCCTAACTAAAAATTTCAAACTTAAAAAAAAAATGTATACCTGCAATGTTTAGTACAAAAACACTTTGCACAAAAGAGACGTTGATTTCTGTTAATATCAAGCACAACTGATATATAAACTAGGATTAATATGGTGTACTATATATGTATACATGACCGCCGTAAGCCGGGTTTATCTTTAATATATATGGTCAATATAATACCGATTATATTAAACGCACTATAGAGGAAAATAACAGCCTAAAAGTTCTACGTAGAAAGCTAACGAATGGGAAATGCGAAATTCATAAATTAAGAAACAAGCAAAATGAAATAATATCACGTAGAGACGAGTTAATACAGGTCGTCGAAGAGTTTTACGAGGACTTATATAGAAGTAGACGAGAAGATAAAACAGGAATACAAACAGCCATTTCAAAGAAGATTAAGAATCAAGGTTCCGAACTAATGCCAGAGATAAAGCTAGATGAGATTCGACAAGCATTCAAAAAATGAAAAATGAAAAATAACAAAGCCCCAGGAGAGGATGGAATCGTAATAGAAGCTATCGTAAATGGAGGAGATATGCTATTAAATAAATTAAGGAAACTATTCAATCTATGTTTGCAGCAAAGAGAGGTGCCCAAAGAGTGGAACAATGCTACAACCATCCTTTTGCATAAAAAAGGAGATAGAACGGACCTAGAAAATTATAGACCTATTAGCCTGTTGAACCACATATACAAACTCTTCACTAGGGTAGTGACATCAAGATTGGAGAAAAAATTAGATTTCTACCAACCGAGAGAGCAGGCAGGATTCCGCTCAAATTATGGTACCAATGATCACCTCCACACAGTAAAGACACTTATTGAAAAATCTATAGAATATAACAAACCTCTTGTTCTCACTTTCATAGATTTTCATAAAGCGTTCGACACGATCGAATTAGACAGCCTTATAGAAGCAATGAATGAGAGCAGGATTGACCATAGGAATAGTGGGCTTATTTATAATATTTACAAAAATGCCACTATGACTGTTAAAATAGACAATAAAACCCGACCAATAAAAATTAATCGTGGAATAAGGCAAGGAGATACATTGTCGCCGAAATTATTCATAACGGCATTAGAATATGCCTTTAAGATGATCAATTGGGACCACAGAGGAGTAACGATAGACGGCGAAAAGCTTAACCATCTCCGTTTCGCAGATGACATTGTCCTTATCACAGATAATTTAGGAGAAGCTACAGATATGTTAAACGAATTGGATTTTGCATGTTCGAAGGTGGGCCTGAGAATAAACTTGACCAAAACTAAGTTTATGACAAATTTGGTCCCCAATAACCATTTGACTATTCAAGACAAAGTGGTAGAACTGGCGGAGAAATATACGTATTTGGGTCATGAAATAAGAATCAGCAGGGATAACCAAACATGTGAGATCCAAAGACGAATTACTTTAACATGGGCAGCCTTTGGAAAACTGCGAGACACACTTAGGGCCAACATACCAATCAGCCTCAAAAGAAAAATGTTTGACCAATGCGTATTACCGGTCATGACCTATGGGGCAGAAACTATGACTTTAACCAAGACCACGGCTTCGAAACTGAGAGTGGCACAGAGACGAATGGAACGGTCTATGCTGGGAGTGACGTTGAGGGACGAATAAGAAACAAAGATCTGCGAAGAAGGACGAGTATTACTGATGTTGTGGAACGCATAGCGGAACTAAAAGGGAACTGGGCAGGCCATGTAGCGAGAATGCACGATTCACGATGGACGAGCAAAATTACAAATTGGAGGCCAAGAGCAGACAAACGCAGTAGAGGAAGACCACCTACACGTTGGGCCGACGGCATCAGGCGTATCACTAAAAATTGGCAACAAAGAGCACAAAATCGTGAGGAATGGAGGAGTTTAAGGGAGGCCTATGTCCAGCAGTGGACGTGATAAATAGAGGCTGGATGAGGATGATGATATTATAAATTACAGAATATTACATTTCGAATCCAAAACATTCTGTTTTCATTCGAAATTTTATTGGACGTCTGTGTCGGATGCCGACTCTTGTATAACATCATTGTCATTTTGAGAGAGTTCTCGAAGTTCGCCACTTACATTTTTTGTTGAGTTTAACGGCTTGAATAACATTTTCCGTGTTAATTTTAATATTATTATTTTTCTTTGAACTATCGTGCATAGTTTCAGCTTCTTCTTCTTGTAGTTCCTTCTACTATCAAAGGTTGAGAGGAAGAAGAAGCAAATTAGCTTTGAAAACAAAGGTACCACATAAACAGCATCATACTACCAATAATTACATATTGATCACTTGCGTGGGGAAACACAAGTCCAAGCACCAAAAAAAGATTCAAGCAGCTCACAATAACTGACTTAGACAAGCTGAAGACGTGCCCAGATACGTCATTCAACGACTCCTATTGAGAGACCTAAAAGCAATGGCGGTACTGGATATAATGTAGGAAAAAGCCAGAATAAAATTCGCTGAGTTAGAGTACTACCTAAGGATGTGAACATTATGTGGAGCAAAATCAAAGACTATTACAAAGACACACACACGAAACTCCGCAAAAGAAAGAAGAAAACAGAAAACCTTAAATGACACAGGAAATAATGGATATGATGGGAAAAATAAGAGAATATAAAAACAAAGACCCATATAAATACATACTTAAATAAGGAACAAAATAAAAGGGGCTAAGGAAACATGGATGATGGAAACATTAATTGAAGTGAAGGAATTAGGGAATAAATATGGTCATTATAATCTACATAAAAGAGTCATAAAATTATCTGGAAAATCAGAAACAAACACACCTGATCGATTAATTAACAAAAACAATAAACCTGTTAATAATCCAATTGAAGTAAAATAATTATGGACTAAATATACTTATAAATGAAAACTATAGATTAAACTTATAGATGAAGACAATTTAACGCAATAGTTATCCTCTTTAATAACATACAAATCTATTGAGATACCTACAGAATGTCCACTATCAACCTTTATTCCGTTACCAAAACCAAGAGTGTCAAACACTGTATTGACTATATTTTATATTGATCAGCTTAATGTCATAATTATTGAAAACATTTTTAAAGGTTATTCATGCAACAATATGTAGAAAGTGTGAAGCAGATATCCGTAAGAGCCAGTTTGGCTTTCGTAATAGCTCCAAAAGATTAGAAGCTTTGTGCAGTTTCACAAAATGATCTTTTCGTTGCATTTATAGACTATGAAAAAGTTAAACATAACTTTCTCATAAAATGTGTAAAGCGAAAAGGACTCAACAACAATGATATTAACGTAGTGAAAAATCTTTATTGTAACCAATAGGCTATGGTAACATTAGATGGAAATAGCATGGATGCGTAACAGATAAGTAGAGGTGTGAGACAAGGCTGTGTACTTTCATCATTACTATTTGATATATACTTATGCTTAAATACTTAACCATAGCAACGATACAGTAGTTATCGCTAAAAGTGAGAATAGCCTGCAGACGTTTCTTAACATAATTTATGATACTGGGGAACAGTTTGGTTTAACAATAAACATAAAGAAAACAAAAACCGTGGTTATCAGTAAGAGGCGTAAAGTCATAACAAGCTTCCAGATAAAAACGAAAATATTAAAAAAGTGGACTGAATGACTTGGGTATTTGGATTACTGGTGATCTAAATCAAAAATTCTGTTTTGACCGTGAGGAAATTTCTGAGTTCACAAAGACCCAATCTGCAAATCCAATATCGGATGGTAAAATGTTATTTCCCTTCTTTATGGTGCCGAAGCTTGTACTCTTAATGTTGACTTAATCAGAAAACTGGAAGCTTTTAAGATGTGCATTTTATAAGAATTTTGAAAATACCATGAACCGATTATATTTTGGTGACCAAAGCCAAAAACGGCTTTGGTCACCAAAAGAAAAAAAAAATAACAAAACACTAACAAAAGCTGCAAGCCACAAAAATGCTAAAAACTCAAAACACGGGCAAGAAGGGCCCACATCCTTAAGCATAAAAATCACCGAATTGGGCGTAGCCCTGAGCGGGGATGCGGAGCTACAAGCAGCAGCCCCCTTTATCTTTTTGTGTAAGATAAATACTTCGTGCTTCTTTTGCAGATTCTCAATTTTCAGAAATTTCTCTTTAAGTTCTTTTCTGTTAATATTTTTTTTTCCTATTTCTTCCACGCTTCTTTTGCTAAGAGTATTTTTCTTTTCATATTTTTTTTTGTATGTCGTTGTATTTTTGATAACCTCGACATTAATATCTACATACATTCGTAAATAGAATATCTGGAAGACCAGATAAGCTACTTTGAACAAGACGTTGATCGTCAATAGAGCCTCACAATATTTCTGAAGATGTAGAAAAATTGTAGAAAAATTATCTTATTTAAAACCTTAGTGATATTGTACAAAACACTGATAAAATAATGGTAATGCAGGAATAAACAATCTGAAAAGAACAGACCCGTTCATCTAACTTTTGCAGACCTCCAAAAGATAATGATTGTATATCAATCTCGCGACTGTAGCCTGCAGTGCAAAAACAGAAGCAATAAACACAATGGTTAAAACTATGCACAATATGTAGCAAACTTGTAAAATAAGTATAGTGTAAACTTAGTCTATTTAAAGTATACATGAATGAGGACTTAACAGGCTGCAAAATACCCCTCTATTTGCTGACGATGAGATTAGACTACCAGCTGCTCTGGTCTGTAAATTCATTTGGGAAAAGCGGAGCATATATGGTAATAACTGATCATGAGTTAAATACACGCTTGAGAAAGGTGTGGTTAAAATTGTGAGAATTTTAAATATCTAGGTGTCTAAAAACCTTTGATTTAGACGTTAAGATAAGAGAACTATAAGGCAATGGAACTTTGTATTATGAAATGATATTAAAAATTACATAAATATAATACTAAAGAGATACTAAATGTCTGATTTATAAGGTAATAATAAAAATTTTATCTACGTATGGATCAGAAGTCTGGATACTAACTACTAAGAGATAAAGAGAAAACTTAAAGGCTATCGAGATGTATTACTAAAGGAGAAGTTGTAGGATCTCCAAGCTAGAACACATAAAAAATGATCAGATTAGACGGAAGGATGCACGGGAAAGGCAAACTTTTGGATATTATTATTCTATGAAAATATTGTGGCCGTGATCTCTCATTGGAATAAAGAAATAAAAACGGCCAAGGAGGACTTGGAATGTTGCGAATGTTGAAGTTCAAGAAGTAATGGAAGCAACAGAATTAGGTCAAATAACTGAATTGGCAGAAATCGCTGGCGCAAGGAAAGCAAGAAATGGTTTGGCCTATAACAGACTCGCTGTATAGATATAAGGCAAAAATAAGGCCAAGATAAGATCAGTGAAGCGGTGAAGAAAAACAGTAACTCAGATGGCGATAGCTAATATCTCTGCAGGAAGAGGTACTCCTAAATATTCTAATATTTAATTTACTTTAAATGTAATTTAACAATCGTTTTATGAAATATTGTTTAATTAAAGCAAATTTTATTATATAAAATTTGTTACAAACTGTGTTTAACTGATTTTAGTGTGCCAGGCCTACAGCGCATATGCTTACGTTAATGAAACATTATTATTACCTCTCCTTGGAGAAGCTCATCAGTATCTCGACTGTCAAATATACAATAATGAGCTTATTGTGGGTCCAACACTTCCAAAACGGAAAGAGTTTCCTCATATGGTAAGTATTTTTTTGGCAAACCTTTTGAAATTTGAACCTAATATGGTAACGATTTTCTTCTCTTAATGTTTAAAAAGGCATATGCAAAATAAATTTTGTACAAGAGCTTACTGTAGCTTATTTTAGGACCGTTTCAATATTTAGTGCTTTTTAAAGCTTTTATGGGAAAGGAAGTACCATTTCTGCACATAAAGCACAAGATTCAGTATTTCTTCTTTGGGAATGGATGCATGAGAATTATATGGAACTTGCTGTGAGTACTTGCTAAAGTAATTGACGGTGTTTTTGTTTAAGAATTTAAACTGGAAAATATATACAAGTTGCTACCATTCGAGAATGCCGTACAGTGGCGCATCAAAATTTATGATGTTCTGCAGTCCATATTCCTTTGTACGGTCTCAGACTGGAATAGGGCGGTAGAAATACAGACGACTTACAAGATGCTTATGGTGCAAGTAAATATAATTGATTAACTGCATGTGCTTATAAGACCGTATCAGCTTCAAACCTGTGGGTGATTACCAGTTATGTAGATTGCATATTCTTGCATATTCTTGCATGTAAAAGAGAACAGCTGTTTTGACGTTGTAGTCAATACATAAAAGCAATATACGTGATGGGAGGCACATCTGTATTGCAATGGGGTAAGCTGACGAGTTTATACATTGTTGCAATTCTGGCAATATTGGACATGCCAAAGTGGATCAAGTCGTTAATCCAAAAATCTGAATGCACTGTGAGCACGTGAGCTGGAATATATCAGATGGGCGGGTGGCAAAAATAACTTTGGAAAAATGCGAAATGGGGTTTGATTCTGTGATGCAGACGGTGCGCGGTGGAAAGAATGGAATCGGTTAACGTCAATCAAATGTCCAAGAAGATCCTACTTTTTTGGGGATACCAGTGAAATGCATACGCTTTAGTTAGTACCAGTTGTTTGATGGAGTGGAGGGGTGGCAAGGACCATATAATAGCATTTCACATTTTTTTGAATAGATCATAAACCAAAATAGTAGTACTAACTCCGTATTAACAGTTAAGACGAAGATTATAATATAATATAATATTATATAATATTATATATATTATATTAGATGATAATATAATCGGTTCATAATTCGTCGATAAATCACTAGAAGTTTAACCCTAATTACAAAACTGAAATACAGAGACGATAGGTAATACAATATAATAATAAAAACCAACCTGAAACTGACGGTATAAGATGTTTTCGACTAACACACCTTGTATCTAAAGGAATACAATACAGCAGTCAAACTTATAATCCAATTACGAAGGTATTTTGGTTACAGATGACCGACCAGGGTCGTAGAGTATATGATTGAAACATTTATTTGAACTAAATAAATATATTTGTAAATTGTATTTTTGTTTTAATAAAACTTCTTTATTTTATTCAAAAATAAAAAGTTTCTTGCTATTTGTAAAAGATACATTTATTTAATTAAGGGCAAAGGCGCCAAATGTCGCCTGGCAAAATTTTCAATGTGTTTTAAACGTATCCATTATTTTCGAATCCGGAGAAAACTAATAAATATTTTTGAAACATTTAAACGCAGAATGAAAGATTACATTATTACTGAGGGCATAAAGTCCCTGAAAACTTCTACAATGTTTATTTTAATATGTTATAAAACAGGGGTGATGATAAAAGAGAAAATATAGTATAATTTTTAACTGAAAATATTGCATGCAAAAGAAACTTTTTATTTATTCCAATAAATATTTCGTTCTGCCTTTAAATTTTTCAAAAATGCCTTTTAATTTTCTCAGAGTTTGAAAAAATGGATACATTTACAACACATTGAACATTTTAACAGGCGACATTTTGCGCTTTTTCCCTTTAATATCTTACGATTAAAACTACTATTACTTACCTTATATAATTACGATTTGAAAACTATTTAAATTCAAAATAAATAGTATCAACTTCTTACGGGGTTAATAATTAGCGGTTGTGTATCTACGGTCGCATCAATTATGTTATCAAGATCCCACATTTTTTGTTTTTCTTCTATTACCTGTCTTACTGCATCTTTTCAGTTTTGTTCTATAATATGTTGTAAAGACTCGTATAACAATTCACGTACAGCTTGTATTTTATATGACGTATTTTTTCTAGTCACATAACTTTTCATTTGTGCCCAAATGAGTTCAATTGGATTTATTTCGCAGTGGTAGGGTAAAAGTCTTAGGACCGTGATGTTTCGCCTTTCCGCCATTTTGTCAACTACGTATTGCTTGAACTTAGATTTGTGTTGCCGGGCAATTTTTAAAAGTTCTGCTTTTACCATTCCATCTTCGAAAGGTAGATATTTATTCCGCAGCCAGTCAAGAATATCTTGTTTCTTCCACGCAGTCGTTGGAAGTCTTTTTACTAGTCGTGAATGATAAGGTGCATTATCTAATACTGTAATTGAATTTGGTGGTATGTGTTCAATCATCTGCTCAAAACACTGTTCGAAAACATCAGCTGTAATCTCCTCGTGATAGTCTTTTGTGCTTTTGTACTGAAGTTTCAACAAACCATGCTTAACAAATCCTTTTTTACTGCCAATGTGAGAAATTATTATTCTACTGCCTTTACCAGAAGGTGGGGAGAGACCATTAGACCAACCTTTCATAAAGGCTTGCCTGGTGCTTAATATATTTTAATCTGACCAAATTTTTTTTAGAGTATGACCTGAGTTTACCCACGTTTCATCCTGGTAGAAGATTGGCCTTCCTTCAGCCCGAAATTTTCGCATGGATCTTAGATAATTTCTTCTCCAACATATTATCTCCTCCCGGTCAATCAAAAGTGATTTTTGGTCTGATTTCTCCCACCGGAAATGTAATTATTTTAAAACTTGTTCGTTCGATAAGAGGCAAATCCGGGTCGTCTCTAACTTCTTGTAAAATTTTGTTCAGGGTTGGTATTTCTTTTTTGAATAAAAAATCCATTAATTTTCCTTCGAATATCATTTTTGGCAAATTCATCAATTTCAATAGGCTTTTTCCCTCTCTTTAAGTGTTCCTTTGTGTTTGGGTTAGCTATACCGTGTTTTTTTCTTTCTGATAGGAACCTATATAGTTGATTCCTCTACGCCAATCATGTTGGCACAACGTTCGACTATGTTGCGAACAGTGTTTGTGGGATTTAGAGAAACCAGAGCATCGTGAACATTCAGGACAATAGTGTTCTCCCTTGGTGAATAAACAGACTTACTGACTGTTCGCAACAGTACCGGTGTAAAACTTGATGATGTTAAAATCAGATTTGTAAATTAGTGATATTCTGCAGGTTAAAACAAGATCAGCGCTTAATATTCTTCTAGTTATTCATCGTTATTAAAAATTATTTATAAATGTTTATTTGAGATATTTCATTCAGCCTTACACCGTAATCACACGATTTTAAATATCGCTTTAATTAGCAATATTATTATAGTTTAATAAACAATTATGACTAGATCACAAAAATGGTTTCCTAAAACTACATAATTATGATACAAGGAGATTCAAATTAGGCATTATTGTCGTTGTGTTTTATTTATATCTTATTTATGAATTTTTAGGTGCAAATTGGATATGGTTTAGATTCTGATGTGAAATGGGGATGTGCAGGAACACTTATTAGTGAAAATTATATTCTAACAGCAGCACGTTGCATAAAAGATACGACAAAGTAAGTATTTTATGACTGAAGGATGCTTTAGACCTAAATTGAAATTGATGTGTTTTGAAATTGTAGTAAAGAAACTTACTTTAATACATTTTAAAAGTCGAAATATTATCATTTATAAATTTTATTTTTAGGGGAGCTGCCAAATTAGTTAGAAGTGGAGTATCTAGAAAAGATATAGACAGCTTTACTTCGCAAATCAGGGAAATCGGTGAAATGATATTACCTCCCAACTATTCAACGAATAAAAATGAAAGTTTGTTATTGGTAAAAGTTAAGACAAACTTCAAGTTAAACGACTTTATACGTCCAGCTTGTCTGTATACTAAAAATAGCAGTCCACAGCATCGATTCGTAACAGCAGGTTGGAGGCTTGCAGAATTTGGCGATAAGGATGGTCAAGATTTAAATAGAGTGTACGTGCAACCCCTACCGGAAGATAAATGCAACGATAAATATATTGCTAATCATAATTTTAATGGTGTTAACAAAATCAACTCGATCTGTACTAAAGCAGCTACTAAAGGTTACTACGGAGATATTTGCAGTGTGAGTAGTTCAACATGTATTTCGCATAACAGTTATGTCTCTTATTATTTAAGTCATCATCATTATCATTGGCTTTTATAACTCTTCGTGAGTTTTTGCCGCGTTTACTATTGCCTTCCATTGATTCCGATCCTGTGCTATTATTTCCCATGGCCTTACTTCCATCTTCTCCAGGTCTTCCCTGAAAGCCTTTGAAGTTTTGCCTCCTATTCTAATTTGTGCAAAGGAATTGTTGACACACATTCGCGCAATCATGGTCAGCTTCTTTGGTACGCCTAACTCCATCATTGCACTGCACAGTTTTAAGCGATCTATGGAATCATATGCTTGTTTGAAATCTATGAAGATCTGGTGTACTTCTTGATTATATTCCCAATAGTTTTCTATCATTTGTCTGATAGTAAATATTTGGTCGATTGTTGATCTTCCAGACCTAAAGCCGCATTGGTAATCGCCAATGATTTCCTCTGTATATGGCAGTAATCGTTTTAGTACAACTGAAGCTAATATCTTATATGTAGTACCGATTAGTGAGATTCCCCTGTATTTGCCACATACAGTATTGGAAGATTCAAAACGGAACATACGAATTATTAATACAATTATTAAGATCCCCTGACCTGCAATTACCCAGTGTAAATTTCAATATAACGTCGCGATGTCTTATAATTAATTCATTTGTTCGACTTGACTCCTTCTCCAGTCGACATTTTTCGACTGCTGCGCACGTGCGCACCTTAATAATACGACTAATAGTTGATTGTGTCGGTATTGGGCTAGCCTATCTTCATACGCACAAGTAAATAAATTTATAATATCACCGTACGAGTTGCCCCCATAATACCATTTTAAAATTTGTACTTTTTCTTTGTTTGTATACATGGTTTATGGTTAGAAACACTACTTTTATTTCAGCTTATGGCGTTATAATGAGAAGCAAAGCAAAGGGCATGTATTTGTTTTGCTCGGCCAGTGATATTCCTTGGGACTGTTGCCAAATCGATAGATACCTTCGGCAAAAACCTGTAGATTTTGATGTATCATATACATCCTTTTAAATTTACATTATCAACAATATTTGGAATAATAAATATATTAAACTATACACTAACCAATTCAAATAATATCTAATGAACACAAAAAAATTGTTATTAATAAAACATTGTTATTATCTGCACAAAAACACAGAAAATCAGTGGACGATAGACAACAGTGTCGACGTACACCTGTCGAATACGCTACTAGAAATCGCCAAGGAGTAGCAATCCAGTCGAACAAATGAATTAATTATAAGACATCGCGACGTTATATTGAAATTTACACAGGGTAATTGCAGGTCAGGGGATCTTAATAATTATATTAATAATTCGTATGTTCCGTTTTGAATCTTCCAATACTGTATATCCTTTCTGCCTTTTTTATGTATTGGCACGATAATACAGCCACTCCATTCTTTTGGCATTATTTATTGTTCCCAGGCTTCTTTCATTAATTGGTTTATTTTAGTTCTAAGTTCATGCCGTCCTTTTTTAATCAGTTCTGCATCAATATTGTCTAGTCCCCGGGATTTGTCATTTCTTAGGGTTTCTATCGCCGTGATAATTTCTTCCAGGCTTGGCGGGGGTACTTCTATCTCGGCCGTTTGGTACTTACAATTTGCTTTATTTCCATCCGTGTCTATCTGGACATTTAGAAGACTTTCAAAGTATTCAGCCCATCTTTCGATTATTTTATTTTCAGCTGTAATCATTTGCTCATTTATATCTCTCACAAAGTTTGGTGTTCTTATATATGCACCTTTCTTATGTTGTCTTACTTCTTTGTAGAATTTTTTATTTTGCTTGCCTGTGTGTTCACGTTCTACTTTTTCAATTTGTTGTTGTAAATGTTGTCTCTTTTTTCTCCTTACCGTTCTTCTGGCTAAGGCTCTCTCTCTATTGTATTGTTCACGCTTTTCATCCGTTGTTATTTAAGTGCAATATTTATATTATTAAACTTTTAAAATTAAGGCAAATATCAAGCACAAGTTTAATCAAATCTTGCCCAAGTACTTTCGCTATCTACAGCATCATCAGAGGCATCTGAAATAAGCCAAGAAACGTTTTTTTATAAATGAAGAAAGTTAATTAACTTCGATAAAAACTCAAAGTTAATGGATGATAAAAGTTTTTTGTGATTAACGTTGTCTTTAACTTTGTCAAATTTGGGCTATCCAGCAAGCATAGAATGTAATACACATGAGAATGGATATAAATTGTACATAACACTACAATAACAAAAGAACAAACAGTTTAAAATAAATAAAATTATTTTGACGCTCTACATTCTTGTCGGCAATCGGAGAAAGAATGGTATTTAACGGAAATGCTAAGGTGACATATTATGACAGCTTTGATAGGCTGTCATAGTCATGGATATGTGATATGAACATATTAAAATTCTGTGTAAGTAAGCTGGCATTGACCAAAGGTCCAACTAATACTATTATAGAAAATCAGCTTATGAAATATCAAATATAGAATATTTTAATTTAACTAGATGGCATAATCCAGATCTCACACAATCTTTTTTTTCATATAATAATTTTGTAGTTTTGGAAAAAAATCCACTACCTTTATTAATAAATCAAAAGTAATGATTAAATTGTTTAATGATACAATTTCTAAATATAACAACAGAAAGTTAACTGTATCTAATCATATAACTCCTAGGTTATATGGATTTCCTAAAATTCATAAACACAATTGTCCCATAAGGCCTGTTGTAAGTTTTTGCAATACTCCAGTTTCCATATTGTCAAAATTTGTTTATAACACAATTCAGTCTATCATCAATTTTAAACCTAAGTTCTCCATTACAAATTCTTTAAATCTAATAGAACGTTTAAATAATATTAAAATAGAAGAGAGTTTTTATTTAGTGTCTTTTGATGTTTCCAATTTGTTAACTTCTGTACCAAGAGATGAAACATTACCTTCAGTACACAACCTTTTAAACAATTGCAACATACCGGCTAAAGACAAAGATGCTATCTCAACTATGCTCAAATTCTGTCTTGATCAGGACTTCTTCCAATTTAACCAAAAAATATACAAACAACCGACAAGTTTAGCAATGGGATCTCCATTATCACATTTTCTAGCTGATATTTTTTTGGGCAGCTTAAAACAGAAATTTGTTAACAACAACAACAAAATAGTTTTTTGGTCAAGGTATGTTGATAATTGTATAGCTCTCATACAAGGAATTCAAGATGATGCTTTACAGATTCTGGATGATCTTAATAACCTCCATCCAAACATCTTTTTAACATTGGAACCAGAATCTGATAATAAGTTGAATTTCTTGGATATGACTATAGCTTGTAATAAAGACTATAGCTTAGCTGAAATGACTCTACCTTGTAATAAAGGTTCTCTTGAGTACAATATTTACAGAAAGCCCACCCAAACAGATCATGTTATACATGAGGCATCTAACCATCCAACCCAACATAAAATGGCTGCTTTTAATAGTTATATTCACAGATTACTCAAATTTCCACTTTCGAATAACAACTTTAATTTAGAACTCAACACTTTCAAGTGCTGAGTATCCATAAGCTTCTAAATAGAGCTATACTCAAATTGCAGAAAAGCTTACATAATTATCACAATGTCTTCAACCTAATGCTTCTAACAACATCAGAAATTTCTCTTTTACTTATATTAGCAACATTTCCAATAAAATAGCTAAACTTTTTACTTCTGCAGTTGAAAAGATCAAAATTTCCTTCAAGTCACACAACACTGTAGGTTCCTTTTTAATCAACACAAAGATAGGTTGAACACACTTGACAAAAGTGGTATTTACAAATTAAAGTGTGATGATTGTGATGCCTCTTATGTAGGTAGAACCATTAGAAAGCTATCTACCATAATTTCAGAACATTCGAAAAGACCAAACACTTCAAGTTTTAGTCAACATTTACTATCTAGTAAACACAATTTCAACATCAATACTGGTTCGTCTATTTTGCATGACATAAGTAGAAAGAAAAACTATTTGGAGTTGGATTTATTAGAAGATTTGGAGATCACAAAGGAAACAAATGGAAACTCTCAATGTGTTAACACTCAAATTAATTTAAATTGTACTAAATTTAAACCTATTTTTAAAAACTTTATTGCAGCTTCACCTTGTAGTGGACCCAGCTCGGCTGTTTAGACTTCGTGCACTGAGTATATCCATTGAGAATTTATTAATTTCGTGCTTTGATCAACGTTACTATTGTATTCTTTAACAATTTACACAACTAGCTTGCTCAGGTTCAATTGATCTATAGTTGGCGTTAATTTCATTCTTCATACCTCTGCGTAATCTAGATATACCAATTCCACAGTTATATATTTCAACATTTGCCACTGTTGGTCAGTTGGTCTTTAGTAACGCTTTTACATATTAGTTTTACAGTTCTCCCATTGGCTGGGGGTTTAACTGAACTACTTGAATTGTACTTCATTTATACACTGCTTTCAATTTTGTTCTAATCTTTAGTTTTTCAATTTCATAGTCAGTTTTCTTCTCTTTTTTACAGTACTGATAGTGCCTCGTAGATCATTTTATTGTAATGAACCACCCACTGCCCAATATATCGTTTAGTCGATTTCTTTCAGTCACACTTTATGTCCACTTAATTTGCTCTCAAACTTACAACCTTATTATTACAGACTGGCGTGAGTGTGAGATCTGGATTATGCCATCTAGTAAAATCAAAATATTCTATATTTCATATTTCATAAGCTGATTTTCTATTCGCTCCGTGCGTGACCATGGTAGGGGAACCTTGAAATGATGCCAGCGTGCGTAGCGGAAAAAAGTGACAAAATTCAGGCTTTATTAAGTATTATGTATATTTTTTAAATTATAATGTATTTGTATACTGTTTCACTTTCTTTTCTAACATATTCTATAATATAAATATGTTGCAGGTCGATATCGGCGGGCCGCTTCATCAGTTTCACCCTGACACAGATGATATAAAATGCATGCACGATATCGTAGGAATCAAAGTGCACGATACAGAATGTGAAAGTGGCGAA